GTGGGGGGGGGGGGGGGGGGGGCGATTTTGAACATACTTGTTTGTTGTTCTGCTGGGAATGGAGTCCTGTTCGATTTTTAATTACTCCCTTTTTTGTATTGCTTGAAATTCATCTAAGGACTTCAGCTGCTGCATACAGTCTTTTTCGATCTGAAGGTACTAACTAATTGCATTTGACTGTTGAGTGAGAAATAGTATAGAGAAGCAACTGCAATGTAAAATTGCGATACATTCCCCATCTCACTTGCCGATGCCTCCCGCACTCCGCCGTAAACAGTAGGAGAGAGGACTCGACCGCCACTCATTTTCGAGCGCACGTTTGACGTTGACTGGTTTATGGACCAAATTAGGATGCCAGCTATGCCTATGAGTTTAAAAATAGTAACGCATACATTATTAAAAAAAAAAACTAAACCGTTTTTTTGTGATTGAAATTTCATTCAATTAGTTTAGTTTAAAAAATTCCACCTCCCTCTACTTGAAGTTAAAAACTGCTGGTGCTCTTGCTTGCATAATCGCACAATGCAACAGGCAGAAATATTATCACCTCTTCGCCTAATGGTTTAGAGACTGCTGCATCTACCTACCTCATTAGCAAAGAGTACTATTTCCTCTTTGCTCATTAGTAAGAGAAGATCTTATTCACTGTTCCAGCCAAAGTAAAGTTGTAGCACAGACAACATATACTGTCTGTGGTTGTAGGTAGGTATGTACTTGGCAATAAACAACATCCTGCCAAATTTCCTGCAATAGCAATATTTATTAAACAGTTTAGGACCAAAACTATATACAACTACTGACGATAAATTATTCATGAGGGCACCACGGAAGGTACGTTATCTGGTAAAATCTGTTATTCCTATTTGTGGTCTCACATGCAGACTAGTTGTGAACATACCATTAGACTTTGTGAACCGGTCGACTTATCCAAGAAGCGAACCATTTCGTTTGTTTTGTTGTTTGTGTATATTTATTGATTATTTTCTTTGTTGTGTTTGCAGGCACAGCTTTGTCGTTGTGACATTTTGATAAACACTAATTTTAGATAAACGATTATTTCGCAGTGTTGCGTATAGCAATATTTTGTAAATAAATATGAATAGTGGCGACTTAGAGTCTTGCTTTTCTACAATTATTCCTAGAGTAAGTGCGCAAATTGTTATAAATAAACTGAAATGTACATTTAGGTTGAGTTTCTCAATGTACAAGATCAATATTCCTATAATGACGACCTAATTTGTAAATATTACCTAACAGACTATGAGGTGCAAGAAGGAGATAGAGTTGCTATATTTAGACTGGGGTGGCAGTACATAAAAGATTATATTTTGTTTGAGTGGGCCCCCAAAGACAGCGAGGCCAATCTCGTAGTATTTAACAGTAAGTCGTTTAAAATCCAACTACCAAATTATTTCGTGTGATTCTTCTAGAACCATGCCTTCCAAAGAACACCTCCGAAATTTATCAGTTTTGTTTCATATCCGGGGAAAATAACGTGCTCGGCGCCAGCGAACCCTTCCAATTCTCCGAAAAAACCAAAAATTACCAATCGCTGTTCAGATCGTCCGTACTCAAGCTAGACAGTTCGATGCAGGACGATTACAAATCTTTAAGCAACGCCTCGCCATCCTCCCTCAATAATATACCCGACGTGATCGAGCGCGATCGCGAGATGCTTCGATTGAGGGAGGAGAACGAATTTTTACGAAACACAC